CAGTGCCCCTCCTTTGCACAGGCCATGAAACACACACGCGGGTTTTGTGTGTGTGCAGCTTTTTAGTGTAAAGTGGGACTCGATGAGCATCCCAGAAGCTGGGAGTGTACCCTCTTCCCTTCCCCATCACAGTCCTTTTCCTGCCTCTTAGAGTTAACCATGGCTCTAACTTTTTGTGATAATTTCCTTAGCTTTTAAAAATATTTTTATCGTGTACGCATATTTTTTACTGCAGTAAAACACGTGCACAGGTTAAAAGTCTGGGAGGACTGCAGTAGCCTCTGAAACAACAGCACTCCCCCCACCCCCATGCGATATCCCTGTCCCACTCCCGAGGAGCCATGCTCTCGGCGGTGTCAGCCTCACTTGCTTTCGTATTTCCACATGCCACATGTAACAGGCGTCTGCCACAGATAAGTGCGACTCTACACAGTGTGTCTGTAGCTGCCTACCTATATTTAAAGACGTGATCTAGTGATACCTGGCTATGAAACATCAGGTTTAGCTCCGTAATCTCATTTCTTCTCCACTGTCCTTTCCTTCTCTTCATTTTCCTAGTGTAGCTTTTCATGGTATTTGCTGAAATCATTATGCACATTTTCATTATTATAACCACATAGACATTATTTATGCCTGATTTACATCATGTTCTGTGCTTAAATTCACTTTTTCTGTGAACTATAGACCTAATTTTATTTTTCTGTAATTAACAGTTGCCTCATTTTTCCTTAATTTCTAAAATGTTATCAGTTGTCAACATATTCCTAAATTCTCTAACAGACATATAACATATCTCTTGAAGCAGTCACCTATACTCTCTGGCTTCCACATTTTCTTCTCGGAAACACCCTTCCTGGACCTCCAGCTCAGCGACTGTGTATTGGGTGTGTCTATTGGGTGTGTCGTGGAGGTTCAGGCGGAGAGGCAGAGCGCTGGGGCGTGGCGGGGGCGTGGTGGGGAGTGGCAGTATGTGAGGGGGGGTTTGTTACAGGGAGTTTACCTTACACCAGTAGGGGCTGCTTAAATAACCTGTGAAGCTGTTTGCTCGTGGGATGCTGGAGCTCAAAGTCCACGGGCGTGGCTGCTGCTTCACTTCTGCGCTTCCAGTCTCTCTGAAAATATTTCGTGTCCTGCCCACCAGAAACATGAGAGGAAGGGAATCCTGGGAAGTGTAGTTTGGGCTGAGCCAAGGTGGTGGGTTACCAAGCTGCCGTAGGTGGCATGAGAAGGCTCCTCTCAGAACTGTGACCTGCAGGAGTAATAGTTTTTTTTTTTTCCAAGCAATTCATTTAATTTCAGTTAATTAAAAACTTTTTGGCATACCTGCACACAACAGGTGACCCATTTTAAATGAAATACAGTTAATATCTCTTTGCCATCTCTTGATCTTTGGAATATTTCCAGAATCAGCTTCTTTCATAGTGTAAATTTGTTTTCACGTTGTTGCAGATTATATAACAAAGTAGGTGGAAGACCATTCAAGATGAGGCCGAAGAGGCGAGCAGGGGTGAGCATCAGCTCTAAATCTGTGCTGTTCCGCTGGCACCTTCAGAAACGGCCTATTAAGAAGGAGATACAAAATTTTAAATCATTGACACATACCCACTAGAGGTACTTGAAGTCACAGGTCTGGGTACAGTTATAGAGGACAGTTTCAAGTATTCTGTTAGCTTAGCATTAAGAAGTCTTCACTTCATTAATCTTCAAATGTATTGATCTTTACTGAGGTACCAGTTATTTTTCTTGTCATTTACTAGCTTTAGTAAACCATGCTATGTATTTTTGTATACAAAATTATGTTTAAAGTACAATATTTTATAAAGTTTTAAAAGCCTTAAAATTTAAAACAGAAGTAGGTCTTGGTCAGGCACATTACTAGATAAAATCCGGAATATATTAGTAAGCTGTATCAAAGAACTGTTCCTAGAAGGAGCTGATTTGTCAAGGTGGCGGGTCACTGGTGACTTTGACAAGGCTGGTTTCAGTGGTGCGACAAAACTCAGGTTGGAATGGGATGCAGACAACTAGCAGGTGAAAAATTTAAAGAAAACTGAAAACTTTTCAAGTGAGTTACTATATGGAGAAACGAGCTGAAAGTGGGAGATTGCAGAAAAAAAGAACAAGGAGGAATACAGAAAAAAATTTATCTTTCTTTTAATCCTCACCCAAGGATGTTTTTTAAAATTGTGTTTAGAGGGGAAGGGAGAGTGAGGAACATCGATGTGAGAGAGAGGCGCTGATTGGTTGCCTCTGGCGTGCGTCCATGCGTCCAGCCTGGGGACTGGTGCCCTAGCAGGGACTGGACGCATCCGGACTGCATCCGGACCGGGGTCGCACACATCCACGTCAGGACGGGGTTTCGAAGCCGCAGCCCAGGTGTGTGCCCTGACCAGGAATGGGCTCCGCAGCGTCCTGATTATGGGACCACGCTCCAACCAACTGAGCCACACTGGCCAGGGCAAAAAAATTGTATCTTAATGGTGGTGAAATTTTCATTTACTAAAGTCCAAGCCAGAAATGTGAGAAAAAACAAGGAAGTTATTTTGGTGAAATTGTGGCTTTTCGTTAATTTTCTGTTTAAAATATAAAAATAATATAAGTAATTTTTTTTGCTTGAAATATGTTAATATTTTAATCAACCATTTACAAAAAAGTTAAATTTACACATACTGTGTGTACTTGGGTTTTTTATATCTATGAAATAAGTTTATAATAACTTTAGAGATGACTATGAGGGTTTTAAACTGGGCAAAATAGAAGCGAGGCAGACGCAGGAGCTGGTGCTTCTGACCCCGGGCCGTGTGGTCGGTGGTGCTGCCACCTGAGGGACGTTGGCAGCCGGGCCTGCTTTGTGATGTGCTTTCAGTGATCGAGACCGGTCAGCTTTGTGACATGTCCTACGGACACCGGTTATTCATTGTATTTACCAAATAACTTACTACATTTATAATTCTGTGTGTATCATGTCAAACGTCATATATGTTCTAAAATCTTAAGACAGCTTTTTGTGCACTGAGGCATGTCAGTTATAAGTACTCTAAAAATAACTTTGCATCTGTTAGAAAGAATGGTTAGATTTGTCCAAAACATTGTATTAGTAAGGAGCTGAATTTAGAATCTTGGTCTTACTTTTTGTGCATTATTGTGCATGTACCTGGAGAAAAGATTATTTCAACCAGAAAAGTGCCTTCTCCCTCCTCTGAACTCCCATGTACATCTATTGTAATATTTGCCGCTCTAACCAATGGCCATACACTTAGTGGCTTGAAACAACACAAGTTCGCTACCTTACCGTCTGGAAGTGAGAGGTCCACAGTGGGTCTAATGGATTAAAGCCAAAGTGGCAGCAAGGTGCATTCTTTTCTGGAACTTCTTGGGGAGAGCTGTTTCTCTGCTTTTCCAGAACAGGGGTGTCAAACTCATTTTCACTGGGGGCCACATCAGCCTCGTGGTTGCCTTCAAGGGGCTGAAATAATTTTAGGACTGTATAAATGTAACTACTCCTTAACTGTTAAGGAGTTGAAACTACATTTGGCCCTTTGAAGACAACTGCGAGGCTGATGTGGCCCCCGGTGAACATGAGTTTGACACCCCTGGTACCCCGGGCCCGGCAGAAGTGACGCCTGCTTGAGTGTGCTCAGTAACTATTTGTGACCCGAATGAATAAAAGGTTAGTGATAGAAACCAGATTTCTGACGCACTCATTTTGAGTTAGTGCTAATGGGAGTTCATAAAATGTCACTGATCAAAACACCGTGGGAGTAGAGATCCAATTATTCTTATTTTATAGTTAAAAGGGGGAAAGAAGCCCTTTGTTCTTAAACACCAACTACCTTACGTGATAGTTCTCTTGCCCCATCTCTACCTACCCTCTTTCTTTGTAATAAAGAAGGAAAGAAAGAATAAAGAAGGAAAGAGAAGGAAGTTAATTTATGAAAAGAATGAAAGAGAAGAAAGACAAAGGAGAGGGGCGGGAAGCAGCGGAGGAAGAAGACCCAGCAGCATTCATTTAATTGTTTTTCTGGAGTAACTGGCGGGACCCCAGTTCAGAGTCTTTGATGCTCCTTGACCTTTGTGCTGATAAGATAAACTTATATTTTTTGTAATGTCTGTAGTTCGTTTTTGTCCAGTGATTAAGATAATTTAAAAATCAGTATTTTTTTAAACTACTTCATAACTTTAGGAAAATTCGTAGAAACTTTGGTTTACCTTTTGACTTATGATTTTCCTTTCCTTGTTAAGTAAGGACAGTATGGACTCTTGTTTAAAATAAAATTAAAAATTAAAAAAATTATCTGGCTTTCCTCATTGAAAAACATTTAAAATCTAGATTTTAGGTTTAGATCATCATCTAGAATAGATAAATACATGACTAGATCACTTATTAACTATGTCCAGAAAGAAAGCTTTGTTTGATGCATATTTAATGACTGATTTTCTTTTGTTAATATCCTTGTAATTTATGCAGAATCTGGTTGTTTTATGAGTTTGGATTGTTATGAGTTTGGAGGCATGTTTCTTCAAATGAAATATTTTTGAAAAATGTTAGATTCTTTTCCTGCTTGTATCAGCACAGTCTTTGATTGGATGGATACATTTGCACGTGTCTGACTCGGCCACAAAGACTAGCTACCCAGATGGCACATGTTGTGTCATCTTGGCAACACAGACCGCGGTCAGAGTGTCCAGTAACTGGTAATAGTTACTATCCTGTTGTCATTCTCTCAGTGAGCAAGAGGTCAGTTTTTAAGTCAGCTTTATTTTTTTATTCTATTTAAAACTTTTGGCAATTTTTAAATTACAGTTGACATACAGTATTATACTAGTGTCAGGTGTACAGCACAGTGGTTAGGCATTTGCACACCTTGCTGCGTGACCACCCCTAGAAGCCTGGCACCCCTCTGATGCCGTGCACAGCTAAGTCAGCTTTAGGGTGTGTGCATTGTAATGAATGACATTCATTGGGTGGAAACCTAACCTGACTTTTCTTTTCCTGGCAGCAACTCGAATTGGTGGAACCAAGTGGCTGGATTCACGTTCCCTTAACCGATAATCACAAGAAGCCAACTCGCACATTCATGATACAGATCGCTGTTCTAGCCAATCACCAGAACGGAAGAGACACCCACATGAGACAGATTAAAATATACACTCCAGTGGAGGAGAGCTCCATTGGTAAATTTCCCAGATGCACAACTATCGATTTCATGATGTATCGTTCGATAAGGTGACCTGGGGACAGGACTGAAGTCATTAAACACATCTTTGTTTTCTCTGGTCAGTAAATGTTGTATCTGGTATCCTCATTGAGAAGGCATCAGCCATTTTACATTTTTGTACGCATTAAGAAGTATTTTATTGTAGCTTTCAAAATCAATTTTGTGTCCTACTATCTTTATTTTCTTTAAAATACAATAAAGATCACATATTTTATGTTATTGAAAATGGATTTGGAGCCAATCATTAAATTTTTCATCAGTAGGTACTACCTTTAATACGACAGAATTATCGGGTTTTTTTCTCTCCAGAGGGAACTTACTCTTTTGATATTGGGCCTTTTTAAAGGCAGTGTCAAAATAAGCTTAGCATTAGGCATCTGAAGAGAATCACTCTGACTTGGGGCATATGGTTAGTTGGGTCATGATCACTTCCATGAGATACTTTCAACCCTGCGGCCATCTGTGCCCTGGCACCATGTCGGAGATCGGCATCACGCTCGCTGTTCAGCTCTTGTTACCGCTGCCCTAGAAGAGTGACCTTAAAGTTTGTGTCTGACACTGAAGCATTCCTGGGGGACAAATATGTCTCATGAAAACTTTTTAAATGTATGAAATTATTCTTTATATGTAAAAAGATATTAAAGGAGCTTAAATGTGTTTTCTCTCCATGGTTTAAAATGAGTAGATTTGATTTTGCATACTTTTTTTTTTTTTCTGTATCTATTACTTCTGGGGAGGATGCTTTTGTAGCCACAGAGCTTCCCCAGATTGGCTCTTATTTGGGAAAGATTCCTTGGAGGTTCTTGCATTACTGGAGAGACTGAAGTCTTAAATGGTAACGTTTAAAAAATAATTTTGTGTGTGCTTTATTCTGGCAGAGAGTACTTATTTACATGGATACTCGCAGGGGTGTCCAACCTTTTGGCGTCTGCACCGCACTGGAAGAAGAAGAGTTGTCTTGGACCACACATTAATTACATTGTGACACGTAGTCAGAAAAAAATCTCATAATGTTTTAAGTAGATTTACGATTTTGTGTTGGGCCGCATGCACAGCCGTCCTGGGCTGCATGCAGCCACAAGCCACAGGTTGGACACCCCTGCAAAGGTTTGACTTTTTTCACTCAGCGGAATCTGAGCTGCTCTTTCTGAGTTTCACAGTTTCACCATGTGCATTTTGTTGTCTTTGAGGAAGGATGGTAGGTGATTTACAGAGTCACCAAATAGACTGTAACTGACTGAAACTCATTCAGGATCAGCAAATAAATCCCAGTAGAGGTATGATGTGGGATGCTGGAAAGGGCGGAAGAGAGGATTAAAGGAAAAACACCTGGATCGGAATTAAAAGCGAAGGAGAGAATCAAGGAGATTAGAATAGCAGTACACTAGGCACTAGGTGGTTTGCTTTATTTAGTCCGATAAGGGAAACATTCATGTAAACAACAGGGTTTAGTCTAAGAGACCGAGACCTCTAACACAAATATAGAAGGAGCCATGGCCTGTGGCTCGGTTGGAGTGTCATCCTGTATGCCAGAAACGTTGCAGGTTTGACCCCTGGTCAGGGTGCATGTGGGGGGCAGCCAGATCAAAGTGTCTTTTTTTTTTAAGATTTTATTTATTTTTTTTAGATAGAGGGAAAGGGAGAGAGAAAGAGAGGGAGAGAAACATCAATGTGTGGCTGCTTCTCATGCACCTGCTACCAGGGGGTCTGTCCTAGGCATGTGCCCTGACTGGGAATCGAACCTGCCACCCTGTGGTTAACAGGCCAGTGCTCAGTCCACTGAGCCACACCAGCCAGGGCAGATCAAAGTTTCTTTATCACATCAGGTGTTTTTTTTTTTTTCCTGTCTCTATCTCTGTATCTCTTTCCCTCTCTCTCTTTCTGTCTATCTCTCCCATTCTTTCTCTCTAAAATCAATAAAACCATATCCTCAGGTGAGGATTAAAGAATACAGAAGGATTTATTAATAATAATGTTACTGCTTGCTAACTGCTTTTAAAAAATCTGTTTAAAAGGTAAAAGGAGGAAGACTGATTATTATTTACATGATCCAGTCAGTTTACCCCTACTACTAATAGTTTGCTAAGAGATTTCTAAAATTGGGAGGGGTTAAGAAGAATGTTGAGAAAATCAGTGTGTTTTCTACTTCTCCTTGGCTGGCTGACCACCTTATCAGACATGGGAAAACTCAGTACCTGAGGATTATGGAGATAATGCCTGCCCTCATTATAAGGATTGTTTAAAGTGTAGATAGACCATGTATTATGATAACAAAGCATTGTTATCTAAAGCAGTTGCCTTTCTCTTTTAAAAGTACAGATGCGTGTCTAGAATAAAGAACTCTTACAACTCAACAGAAAGAAAACAACCCAATTCAAAGTGATCAATAGATTTGAACAGTCATTTCATTGAGGAAGACATATGACTTGTAAATAAATATTTGAAAAGATGCTGAACCTCACTGGACATTAGTGAAATGCAAATTAAAACCATGATGAACCCTGGCTGGGTAGCTCACTTGGTTAGACCATTGTCCCTGATACACCAGGGTCACAGGTTCAATCCCCGGTCAGGGCACATAGAAGAGCAGCCAATGAATGCATAAATAAGTGGAAAAACAAATCGATGTCTCTCTCTCCCCAACTCCCCCAATTCAGTAAATAAAAAATTTTAAAAAACCATAATGAGATACCATTTCACAGCCACCATAATAGCTACAATTTAAAAAACGATTGCAAGGTTTAGCAAAGATAAGGAGGAACTGGACCTCACACTGATGGTGAGGATGTAATTAATGTACATCCATTTTGGAAAACAGTTTGGTAATTTCTTAAAAAATTAAACGTGTACGTAATTATATGATCCAACCATTCCACTCCTAGGTGTTTACCCAAGAGATGAGAAAGCATATGTTTATATAAAGACTTGTACACAAATATTCATAGCACTTCATTTGTATTATCTCAGAACTGAAAACAACCCAGATATTGATTAATAAGAGAATGTAAACATGTGGTATGTCCATATAGTAGAATACTGCTGAGCAATAAAAATGAATGGACAGTTAATACATGCAACAACATTTATTTCCTACTGTATAGGATTTGAGAATCAAAAACTAAGATTAATAAACCACTTTAATGGCTAATAAACCAGCAAATTCACTGATTTATTTGTAATGAATATACATTTTTGAGTATTAAAGTGTGCAGTTAGAAGATTTACATTTTTAAAGTTCACATGTAGTCTAAGGATAAAGCACTGTTAAAATCAGTTGATTACTTGAAGTATTGTCACAAGAAACTGTATAAAACTGGAATATTAGACCATAGCAGTTTACTGAACACTAATAAATACACAATTCTTTAAAAACACCTAATAGATACTGGGTGTTGCTTTAGAAGTATTGTAATGAGGAAACCAAGGTAAACCTGATGGGGACCTTCCTTCCGGTTGCTTACCACCTGCTGTGGGAAATGATCGTCTTCTAAGCAACCAAATCGAAACTAGAGGGGCACAATCTCCAGTTGGGGAATGGGAGTGGAGAGGAGAAGGGAGGTTTGGCTTCCGGCTCTGGAAATTCGAGGTGAAGCGGAAGAAGACATTGTGGAGGAGGTGGAATTTTGGAAAGAAAGACTTTTTAATATTAGCCAGTTATTCACTTTTCAAGCTTATCCTTGAATCCAGACTACTGTTGTTTCTTTGTAAGTAACAACAATGTGAAACAGATGATTTGTGTGTTCAGAATCAAGTGATTTTTTTGTACATTTAACTCTTGTTTGAAAGATTCCAATGATTAAAATATGGTCAAACTTGGAAAACAATTTTAGAAACAGTGTGTTCTTTTTGCCATTATGACTACTAATTTAGGATACATTAATACACTACAATATAAATTTAATGAGCATAAGATTTGATGAGTCAAATATAAATATTTGATATTTCTAGTGTTTTAGAAAATTGTCACTCCTCTAAACTTCTTAAAAACATGTATGCTTATGTATTATTTTTATTTATTTTTAAAATATATTTTGATTATGTTATTACAGTTATCACAAGTTTTCCCCCTTTGCCCCCCTCCTCCGAGTCCCCCCACTCTCTCCAGAAGTCCCCTCATTTAGTTCATGTCTGTGGGTCATGCATATGAGTTCTTTGGCTTCTCCCTTTCCTCCACTATTCTTAACATCCCCCTGTCTGTTTTGTACCTACCAATTATGCTTCTTAATCCCTGCACCTTTTTCCCCATTATCTCCCTTCCCCCTCCCAGCTGGTAACCCTCCAAATGATCTCCATAGCTATGATTCTATTCCTGTTCTGGTTGTTTGCTTAGTTTGCTTTTTTAGATTCAGTTGTTGATAGTTGTGCATTTGTTGCCATTTAAACGTTCACAGTTTTTATCTTTTTCTTAAATAAGTCCCTTTAACATTTCATGTAATACTGACGTGGTGATGATGAATACCTTGTCTGGGAAGCACGTTAGCTGCCCTTCCACTCTAAATGCCAGCTTTGCTGGATGGAGTAATCTAGGTGGCAGGCCCTTGCTTTTCTTCACTTTGACTTCTTGTCAGTCCTTCTTGCCTGCAAAGTTCCTTTTGAGAAACCAGCTGACAGTCTTAAGGAGACTCCTTTGTGGTTAACTCGGCTTTTCTCTTGCTGCTTTTAAAATACTCGCTTTATCTTTAACCTTTGGCATTTTAATTACGATGTATCTTAGTGTGTTCCTCTTTAGGTCCAATTTGTTTGGGACTCTCTGTGCTTCCTGGTCTTGTATGTATATATCTTTCACCAAATTAGGGAAGTTTCCTTTCATTATTTTTTCTAACAAGTTTTCAATTTCTTGCTCTTCCTCTTCTCCTTCTGGCATCCCTATGATGCAGATGTTGGTACGTTTGGAGATGTCCCAGAAGCACCTAATACTATCCTTGTTTTGTTTTTTTTTAATTCTTTTTTCTTCTTGCTGTTCTGGTTGAATGCTTACTTTTTCCTTATGTTCCAAATCGTTGATTTGAATCTCAGCTTTATCCCCTCCACTGATGGTTCCCTGTAGGTTTTTCTTTATTTCACTTAGTGTAACTTTCATTTCCTGTCACTGGCCCCATTTCCAGTCCTTTCACCCACTCCCTGTCTGTGACTGGAGCCCTTCCAGCTGCCGCCCTGGTGCTGAATCCCAGAGTGGGTGGGTTTGCATAAGTTCTAAAACCGTGCTGGTCGTTCCTCTGCTGCCCC